TACGACGTCGCGCGGAAGGATCAGGTCAAGGGAAGTCGGGCGTTGACTCATGGGGGTGGTGCCAGGGCTTACTCATGCATTGGGACGGGACGATCCGCCGTCACAGGCTGGTGGTGCCTTCCACGTTGAGGGGTAGGGCTGTATGGGCTGCTCATGAACGGCTCCTGCACCTGGGTACCCTCAAAACACTTGCCATGCTCCAGCTTAATTACTTTTGGCCGGGCATGGCAAGAGACGTGGACGATCTGCTGCGGTCCTGTACCCAGTGTGCACAACGGAAGCCGCCGGCGAAGGGAGCCAGTCCACCGCTCCAGTCCATTTCGGTCACCCGGGTTAACGAGCTGGTCGCCCTTGATATTTTGGGACCGTTTCCTTCCACGCCGAGGGGTAATAAGTACCTGCTGGTTGGCGTGGAATATTTCACGCGATGGCCTATGGCTTGGCCCCTCGCCAACCAGTCCGCAGCGGCCGTTGCGGAGGCTTTTGTTCAGGGCTACGTCCTCGACAAAGGCGCTCCGGAACGGTTGTTGACCGATCAGGGAAAGAATTTCACTAGTACCCTTTTACACGAGGTATGTGGCCTTTTGGGTACAAAGAAAGTTCGTACCTCGCCTTACCATCCACAAACGGATGGGATGGTGGAACGCTTGCATAGGACTCTTACGTCCATGCTATCCCACCAGGTATCTGAGTCCCAAAACGATTGGGATCTACGGATCGGGGGAGTCCTGGCGGCATACAGGATGGCTCCTCACGCGGCGACCGGGTTCTCGCCATTTTTTTTGATGTATGGTCGCGAGGTTGACCCGCCTGTCGCGACTCAGCTGACGATTGCCGCGCCTCATGCTAAGTCGAAAATCGCCGACCATGTTAAATTTAACATCCTTCGCTTGGCGGAGGCACGGCAGGCGGCCATGCAAAACTCTGACTCTCGCCAGAAACAAAACGAGAGATTGCTGGTCGCGCCGGACTCACACGCACGAATGGCACCCGGGCGACCGAGCATGGTTGCACTGCCCTCAGGTGCCATTGGCCACCTCGGCTAAGTTGTTGCGACCATGGAGGGGCCCCGTTGAAATTGTGCAGGTTGTGCGGCCTCAATGTGTGCGCATTAAGTGGGGGAAGCGTCGGTGGTTTGTGCACCCTTCACGGTTAAAGCCATTTTTTGCTCCGCACGCTTCCTCCCACGTAAATGGCCGAACATGTGGGGAGTCCTCTGACTCCGGGGGGGCGGGATCGATGCCAGCCTCTGATCCACTAATGACTGTCCCGTCTTCAGGAGCCCCAGGACTGAAGCCCTCTGGGCTGCCAGCCTCCCCCGTGGGGGGCGGCGCTGGCACGTCCGGGAAACCGGACGACCAGGCACCTGCTGATGCGACACCTGCCACTGACTCTACCAAGCCGGCCCCTTGTGACGGGCCCGCTGCACGGACTCGCGCCAAAACGCGCCGGTTGTTATGATTAGCTTTCCGCGCGTGTTCCGTTGCTGCGGAACCCGCTCATTGTATATATGTTTTTTTTAATGGTTGTATGTGTGTGTAATAACGATGACCACGCTATCTGCTTGTTGCTTGCTGTCCATGTAAGTGTGTGCGTGTGTTGGGAATGGACGGAGAGTCTGCTGTGGTTGCTGAGTTTCAAAGGGAGTGTGTGCGCTGCTGCGTGGAGTTGTTATCTTGATGGTAAAGTTAATTATTAACGTGGGAGCGTCGGGTATCCTGTGCTGTACCATCTCGTGGGTCACCGTGCGCGATGGGCTTAATTGAAAAAAAAAATGTTTTTTTTGGGCTGTATTATGCTGCGAGGTGCTGTGTGCGATGCGGTCGTTGCATGAGAGGGAATAACTGTGTTGTGGTTGAAAAGTTACGACGGGATTGATGGTGTGTTGGTCGCCTGCAGATTTGCTTGCTATTGTGCTTCAATGTACGCGTGTGATCGCGATATGCTGATTGCATGTGCTGTTATACCGTTCTGTATATGTGTTGCGGTTCCGGGTGGGGGGGTTTTTTTTTTTTTAGGGAACCATCGGTTGATGTTACGCTTGTTCTTGTTATTGTTACTGTTACGAGGCACACGTGTATTGACGGTGTTAATCTTTATTCTTGGGGGTTGAGGGATTGTTGCAGCCGGGACGGCTGCGAGCTGTACAGGGGGGGGTGATGTAGGGGTTATTACGGGAGAAACGGCGGACAACAAACACAGGGCTGTCGGCACTCACATACACGGGGGGTCACACCGACGTCCGCATCAGTTATTGCCCACGCCCCCAGCCCTCGGAGGCGATCCCTATAAAAGGTGGAACCCAAAGAGCTCGAGGCAGTTCGACACGAAGCTGACCAGTGAAGATCCAAGACTCGGAGATTAGGCCCTGGGACTCCCCGGTCTCGCCGTCCTTATAAGGGCCGAGCCGGGTAAGCCAGTGGCGCGGCCCAAGAGCTTCCAGACCGCTGCCCTTATCAGGGCAAGGCTGGTTAGCTGGTGCCGAGATCTGTGCTTGCCAGGGCCAGATCAGTCAGCCTCCCGTAGCCCAGTAGAGGAGGACTGGGGGACAGGACAGAGGGCTTAGTACTAGGGTGGGTTTCCCATAGTACGGGTGAAGGGGCCGATACCCCTTCAACTATTGTATCTGTCCCGGAGTTAATAAACAGTGTGTCTCAACTTCCTCATCGTCTCCTCATCAACTTACTACACCTGTGATAATTTTACCTGTGCCATTTTACCTGTGCCATTTTTATCTGTGCCATATTCTATGCCATTTTTACCTGTGCAAATTTACCTGTGCCATTTTTACCCGTGCCATTTTTCCCGTGCCATTTTTTCTGTGCTTTTTCTTACCTGTGCCAAATTTTCCTGTGCCATTTTTACCCGTGCCATTTTTTTCCTGTGCTTATTTTACCTGTGCCCATTCTTGCCTAAGATCGGGTTTCACCAGGCTGGACCACGGTGCGAGGAGCTCGCAGATCCGCGAGAGACCTGGACACGGTCCCCAACATTAGCGGCCCGCGAGCGGGAGAGAGATGGTACCCGCCACTCGAGAGTGAGCGAGAGGGTCCCGTCGCCACGGTAACCCCGCAGCTCGCCCGGGTGGTCACCGTGGAGACGGAGCGGCCACAATAGAGCATGGGAACCGTGTGCATGGGAGCCGTGTGCATGGGAACCGTGTGCATGGGAGCCGTGTGAACCCCCACCTTCCCCACCGCCCAGCAACAAACAGCAGTCTCAAGGTGGAACGTTCATGGGGAGTTCCTGCCATAGTCCTACACAGAGACCCATAAACCTACAAAGAGACCCATAGCCCTACACAGAGACCCATAGCCCTACACAGAGACCCATAGCCCTACACAGAGACCCATAGCCCTACACAGAGACCCATAGTACTACACAGAGACCCATAGTCCTACACAGAGACCCATAGTCCTACACAGAGACCCATAGCCCTACACAGAGACTCATAGTCCTACACAGAAACCCATAGCCCTACACAGAGACCCACAGACCTACACAGAGACCCATAGTCCTACACAGAGACCCATAGTCCTACACAGAGACTCATAGAGACGTATTGTCTGTGTTAGTACCGCGCTTGGGATCATGACCACACTGCCCGCAACCAACGCTGACAAAGACAAAGGTCCCCCGTGCAGCCTTAACAGACTGCGGAGGCAAGTGCTGTTACTGAGCAACACCTATGAAGGCCGGCATGGCATACGGGCGGGTGGGTGATCAGCACCACGCCCCTCGGCCGCCTTCGTCTCCCCAGTGGCGATGTTTGCACATCACACCAGGTATTAATTTGAGGCTGAGTAGACCTAGGGGAGTCCCAGGACCGGTTCAGATAATCGTGACCGGTGTTGGTGATGGCTGTGAGCGGGAATCGAACTCGGGGGGGGGGGGGGGGGTCGCCGATTTCGCAGCGCAACGCACTAACAGCTACACTCCCTCTCTCTGACGACACCCACTCACCCACGCGTCCACCCACCCACTCAACCACACACACATCCACCCAACCCACTCACCCACACACACATCCACCCACCCACTCACACATCCACCCACCCACTCACCCACACACACATCCACCCAGCCACCCACTCAACCGCACAACCACCCACCCACTCACCCACACACACATCCACCCACCCACTCACCCAGACATCCACCCACCCATACACACATCCACCCACCCACTCACCCACACACACACCCACACACCCACACATCCACACACCCACACACCCACACATCCACACACTCACACACATCCACCCACTCACACACCCACCCACTCACCCACCCACACATCCACCCACCCACTCACCCACACATCCACCCACCCACTCACCCACACACACATCCACCCACTCCCTCACTCACCCACATATCCACCCACCCACACACCCACCCACTCACCCACACACACATCCACCCACACATCCACCCACCCACCCACACAACCACCCACCCACTCACCCACACATCCACCCACCCACTCACCCACACAACCACCCACGCACTCACCCACACATCCACACACACATCCACCCACACATCCACCCACCCACACACCCACCCATTCACCCACACATCCACCCACCCACTCACCCACACAACCACCCACCCACTCACCCACACATCTACCCACCCACTCACACATCCACCCACCCACTCACCCACACAACTACCCACCCACTCACTCACACAACCACCCAACCACTCAACCACACATCCACCCACTCACCCACACATCCACCCACCCACTCACCCACCCACCCACTTACCCACTCACACAGACGTCCACCCACTCACCCACACGTCCACCCACCCACTCACCCACCCACCCACTCACCCACTCACCCACACATCCACCCACCTACCCACCCACTCACCCACACAACCACCCACCCACTCACCCACACACACATCCACCCACCCACTCACACACCGGTTTCGCAGCGCCGCGAAAACCACAGCGCCACCGCTCGCCCCCCCACCGCCCTCACCTGCAGCCTGGCCCAGGGGTCACGAGCCCCCTCCCCGTGGCTCCCGGCGGCGCCCTCCCCCCATCGGAGCCCCCCCACAAGTGGCCCCCACCCCCGGGCTGCCCCGCACGGCGCTGCCCCGATGCGGGGCAGCAGGGAGTCGAACTCGTCCAGGTCGCGCGCGCTCACCAGCGCACGCACGTCCTGCAGCAGCGAGCGCTGCAGCAGTCGCAGCAGTAGCAGTGGCAATCACAGCAGTGGCAGCAGTGGTGGTAGTAGTAGTGGTAGTAGCAGTGGTAGTAGCAGTAGTGGCAGCAGTAGCGGTAGTAGCAGTGGTAGCAGTGGTGGTAGTAGTAGTAGTAGCAGTGGCAATCACAGCAGTGGCAGCAGTAGCGGTAGTAGCAGTGGTAGCAGTGGTGGTAGTAGTAGTGGTAGTAGCAGTGGTAGTAGCAGTAGTGGCAGCAGTGGTAGTGGTAGTGGCAGTAGTAGTGGTAGTAGTGGTGGTAGTGGTGGTAGTATTAGCAGTGGTAGCAGTAGTAGTAGTGGTAGCAGTGGTAGTAGTGGCAGTAGTAGTAGCAGTGGTAGTAGTAGTTGTGGTAGTAGTAGTGGCAGTAGTAGTAGTGGTAATGGCAGTAGTGGTAGTAGTGGTAGTAGTAGTTGTGGTAGTAGTGGTAGTAGTAGTGGTAGTAGTGGTAGTAGTAGTTGTGGTAGTAGTGGTAGTAGTAGTAGTGGTAGTAGTGGTAGCAGTGGTAGTAGTAGTGGTAGTAGTGGCAGTAGTGGTAGTAGTAGTAGTGGTGGTAATAGTGGTAGCAGTGGCAGTAGTGGTAGTAGTGGTAGTAGTAGTAGCGGTAGTAGTAGTGGTAGTAGTGGTGGTGGTAGTATTGGTAGTAGTAGTGGTAGTAGTAGTGGTAGTAGTGGTAGCAGTAGTGGTAGTAGTAGTGGTGGTAGTAGTGGTAGTAGTGGTAGTGGTAGTAGTGGCAGGAGTTGAAGTAGTAGTGGTAGCGGTAGTAGTAGTGGTAGTTGTAGCAGTGGCAGTAGTGGCAGTGGTAGTAGCAGTAGTAGCAATAGTAGCAGTAGTAGCAATAGCAGCAGCAGTCGTACAAAATCAGCAATCCCATCGGCACGCACGCGTGTAGGGGGGGAGGGTGTCTTGTGTGTTATAGCGCAAGGAGGTGATGCTTTTCGTGAATGGAAATGCAGGGAGGCGTGGTGCAGGGAGGAACGGCATCGTGAGTGATGAGTGTAAGTGGTGGGGAGGGGTGGTGTAGTAGCGGTCAGTGCGCTGCGCTGCGAACCCGGTAGCCCGAGTTCGATTCTCACTCACGGCCAACACCAAGTGGCGATTACCCGAAGCAGTCCTGGGCCTCCCCTAGGTCGGCTCAGCCTGAAATTAGTGTCCGGTGCGGTGTGTAGTAAACATCGCAACTCGGGGAGACAAAGGTGGTCGGGCGTGGTGCTGTTCACCCACTCCCTCGTGTGCCGTGCTGCTAATCGCTAACAGCACTTGCACCAACACACTGTTAAGGCTACATGGGGGATCTTTGTCTTTGATGCAGGGATTGGTAATATAGTGATGGTGGTGGTAATTGTGTTAATGCTGATGATGGTAACGTGGTGGTGGTGATGGTGATTGTGTGAATGCTGATCGGGATGATTGTGGTAATGTGGTGGTGATGTGGTGGTGGTGATGGTGGTGGTGATTGTGTGAATGCTGATGGCGGTGATGGTGATTGTGTGAATGCTGATGGTGGTGATGATGTGGTCGTGATGGTGAACGTGTGAATGCTGATGGTGGTGATGTGGTGGTGGCAATGGCGGTGTGAATGCTGATGGTGGTGATGTGGTGGTGCTCGGTGGCAGTCGTGGTGGTGATGGTGGTGGTGATTGTGTGAATGCTGATGGCGGTGAAGGTGAATGTGTGAATGCTGATGGTGGTGATGTAGTGGTGGTGATGTGGTGGTGGTAATGTGGTGGTGGTGATGGTGGTGGTGATTGTGTGAATGCTGATGGCGGTGATGGTGAATGTGTGAATGCTGATGGTGGTGATGTGGTGGTGCTCGGTGACAGTCGTGGTGATGATAATGTGTTGATGATGATGATGGTGGCGGTGGCAGTGGCGGTGTGAATGCCGAGCGAGAGACACCGACAGAGAGAGAGAGACGGCGCGCCACCCTACCTGCTGCGGCGTGTGCAGCAGCGCGTCCAGCCGGGCGAGCAGCGCGGGCACGGTGAGCCCCCCCGCCCGGTACTCGTCCACCAGCCCCTCCAGCCGGGCCCCCCCACCGCGGCCCGCGGGGCCCCCCAGGACGAGTGCCGCTCGCTCCCCCAGGGCGCGCCGCGGCTGCTCGCACAGCGCGCTGGGGGTCACGCCGGTGCCCCACACTCCACGGCACAGCATCACCTGGGGGGCGGGGGGAAAGAAGAGTGGGGGGGTTACAGGGGGTGCGAGTGGATGGATAAGCGAATGGATGGGTAGGCGAGTGGATGGGTAGGCGAGTGGATGGGTAGGCGAGTGGATGGGTAGGCGAGGGTGCAAGCGGATGGGTAGGCGAGTGGATGGGTAGGTGAGTGGATGGGTAGGCGAGTGGATGGGTAGGCGAGTGGACGGATTGTCGAGGGTGCGAGCGGATGGATAGGCGAGTGGATGGGTAGGCGAGTGGACGGGTAGGCGAGTGGATGGGTAGGCGAGTGGATGGGTAGGCGAGTGGACGGATTGGCGAGGGTGCGAGCGGATGGGTAGGCAAGTGGATGGCTAGGCGAGTGGATGGGTAGGCGAGGGTGCAAGTGGATGGGTAGGCGAGTGGATGGGTAGGTGAGTGGATGGGTAGGCGAATGGATGGGTAGGCGAATGGACGGATTGGCGAGGGTGCGAGCGGATGGGTAGGCGAGTGGATGGGTAGGCGAGTGGACGGGTAGGCGAGTGGATGGGTAGGCGAGTGGACGGATTGGCGAGGGTGCGAGCGGATGGGTAGGCGAGTGGATGGGTAGGCGAGTGGATGGGTAGGCGAGTGGATGGGTAGGCGAGTGGATGGGTAGGCGAGTGGACGGATTGGCGAGGGTGCGAGCGGATGGGTAGGCGAGTGGATGGGTAGGCGAGCACGGGAGTGGATGGTACACGAGCGGAGGGGCCAGGCGATTGGGCGGTTAGGTGACCACACGGGTAGACGGGTAGACGAGCGTGCGAGCATCCATCCGGCGTCTCTCACCGGAGCCGGCTCCGCGTCGTCGTCCGCCGCCGTTCGCCGGCGCGGCGGCGGAGCGGAGCGGTGCGGTGGCACCGCGGGAGCCCTGGGGAGCCGGCCCACGTCGCGCACGGTGAGCATGAGGTGCGCGCTGGCGCCCAGCGCCGCCACCGCTTCCGCGTGGCTCGCCGAGCGGAGGCTCCGCCCGTTCACCTCCACGATCTGGTCGCCGACCTGCAACGGGAGGCGCCATTCGGAGTGTTTAGCTGCCGTGCATTGCCACGTGATGTTGATGAGGCCGCTTTGTCTTGTGATTGGCAGGTCCCTTCTGAAAAAGAGCTATGCAGGGTGCTTCAAAAAAATGTGAACGCTTTGGAGGATTTGCAACAAGACCACAAGAAATGCACCTCCGGGCTCTGGAGACCACCTGGAGTAGATTCCAGGCACGCGCTGACAATGATGGCGAACAAGTGGTGAGACTCTTTGACTTTTAGAAGCTATTTGTTATCATGTTAGAGTGTAGTATCCATTATTTTTCCATTAAAAACGAAAGTCCCATGTAAGTGTTAACATTTTTTTAAGCACCCTGTATATAGCTCAGTGGGCATTGCCTGGTACAATAAAAAGAGTATTAGTTTAAAAATAATGATGATGATGACGATAATGACTTTCCTTCCCTCCGCCTTAAAAGGCTTTGTACCCAATCTTTGCCCCCGCCATGGCAGGGCTGTGAGCCTGGGTGTTCTCGCCCATTTCCTAAGCACGAGTCGCACGTTTTATCAACGTGCTGTCTCGCCCTCCCTTTGACGTTTCCGTAATATCTTTGGCTCTTGAAAAACAAAACAAAATTGTCATATAATACCTGTCAACCCCTTATCAGTGCCTATCTTATTACAGACCAATTCAGACCTTATTGGTCACCCCGTGCCCTTATAAATCTTTCATCCTACAAAGTCCTATCACAAGGGAGAAACACAAACAAATAGACAGTTTTTAAAATAAATTTCCCTGTACAAGAATACGGGTAAACCGTATGTGTAATGTCAATATAGTCTACATGCGGTGTGAGTGGACTAGTGGACACGGGAGGTAATGACAGGGGAGTCAGCTGTGAGTGCGAAGGGACTAGTGGCCACGGGAGGTAATGACAGGGCAGTCAGCTGTGAGTGCAAATGGACTAGTGGCCACGGAAGGTAATGACAGGGGAGTCAGCTGTGAGTGCGAAGGGACTGGTGGTCACGGGAGGTAATGACATGGGGGTCAGCTGTGAGTGCGAAGAGACTGGTGGCCACGGGAGGTAATGACAGGGGAGTCAGCTGAGTGCGAGGGGACTAGTGGCCACGGAAGGTAATGGCAGGGGAGTCAGCTGTGAGTGCAAAGGGACTGGTGGCTACGGGAATGATCTAGAAGGGAGCATAATCAGGTGACGGAAGAGGACAGTGGAGTCTGCCGGTGGAGCGAGCGTCCAGAGTCAGTGAGAAGGATCGAGAAGGGGGGTGTGGCCTCGTGTCGGTATAAAAGGGGGATGCGCGGGAGACTCGGGGCTGTTGATGTGGGGGTCTTCGCCGTATGTCAAGTGAACGTGTCTTCAATGAAGTGCCATCTCAAGATAAGTGGGTCAAGTCGTCATTACACATATACACAGTCTGTTCTCCTATAACGTGGCGGTAGTAGTTGCGTTCCTGAAGAACACCACGTGATGGAAAAATCGCGTTACATTTTATGATACAGTAAGGGTAAAGCACTGTCCGCGATAACGCGTGACATGGATACACAGGCCAAACAAAGACCGAGGCGTGTGTGGGTAGCATCTAGAAGCATCCAGAAGTATTGCGTTGCCTTGTGTGCGACACACAGCCGTACGACCGCTGAATTCCTACTCGCTCTGTGACGTAGTTCCGTTCGCTCGATCGCGTTACTATCGGATTCGCCTACACGTTCTTAAAAAAAATATGTTCCTCGGTACATTCGTAAGTAGGAACACAGAGGCTCAACATACGGAGAAGGGCCCTCGCTTTATTCACACGTGGATCTACCAGGCTTGGCCACAATCTTGTCCTCCTTGTTCTCTCCCTGCCCCTCCTCCCAAATCATCCTTCCTCGCCTCCTCTCCTCCCTCTGACGGGTCCCCGGCCCCTGTCCACGGGTGTGGCAGCTGTGCTATCTAATGCTATTTTGCTTCGGTTGCTTGCAACACCCCTGATGCATTCATCGCGTTGCGAAAACTACGCGCTATAGGAGAACGGACTGTGTTAATACACTTTTTTTTTAAATACCGACGTCAACTCGCGCCGAGGCGCAGCCAGGGGTTTTGTTTCCCTCGTTCCGCCAGCGTCGTCCCTGCCGCCGCCGTTCCCCTCTAGGTCGACTCGGCCTCAAAACGGGCTTTACCTGGAGGCCCGCGCTCTCGGCAGCACCGCCCGGGTCGAGGCCGGACACGAAGATGCCGAGGCCGAAGTCGCAGCCGCCTCGAACCACGAGCCCCAGCGGGGCGCGGCCGGAGGCCGGGAACACGCTCACCTGTACCATGCGAACGCAGGAACATGGGAACAGCACGGGAACATGCTCACATGCACCATGGGAACACAGGAAAATTGGAACAACACGCTCACCAGCACGACGCGAACGCAGGAACATGGGAACAACACGCTCACTTGCACCACGGAAACACGCTCACCTGATCGTGTTGAACTCGGGCAGAGAGGTCAAGCGGTCACAATAGGAGTCTAGATTGCACGAGTGAGTGGATGGGTGGGTGGGTCAGTAGGTAGGTCGGTGGGTTAATGGGTGAGTGGGTCGGTAACTGGGTGACTTGAGTCAGTGGGTGGGTCAGTGAGTGAGTAGGTTGGTAAGTGGGTGACTGGGTGGGTGGGTCAGTAGGTGAGTGGGCTGGTTAGTGAGTGAGTAGGTGGGTCAATGGGTGGGTGTATCAGTGGGTGGGTTGGTGGGTCAGTGGGTGAGTGGGTGGCTCCTTGAGGCCAAGACGAGGTTCCACTGGGCCCCGCTACCACGACATTGACAATAATAGTCGCCTTGGAGGGCAGGCGGCCCTGTGGACCGGATTAATCTTCACCCCCCCCCCAACACACTCCCCACCACTCTGCGTGCCCCCCACCTTCCTCTCGTCGCCGTTGCTCAGCAGCTGGAGGCCGCCGCGCTCCTCCGCGCCGGGCACCGACGCCGCCGCTTCCGCCGCGTCTACTCCCCCGCCCGGGCGATCGAGAGGGGGGCCGCCCCCTCCCCCCGCCTCGGCCGCGTGGCCCCACCGCTCGTCCCCCCACGTGCGGTGTCGGTGGTGGAGTGGTGGTGGTGGTGGGGCGGCAGCGCCCGCGGTGGTGGGCTCGGCAGCCGGGGGGACGGACAGCACGGTGAGGTCCAGCCTGCGGCCCGAGCACAGCACCTGGGCGGGCGGGCGAGGGGGAGGGACGGTCACGTGAGCGTCCAGGCGGTCCGAGCTCCCGGAGAATTGCGCCGGCGAGCCCGGCCACGGCGAAGGAGAGGGTAGCCCTGCCGGTGCACTGCCAACGACGCCGCGGCCTTCAGCCCTGCCGTGGGCGTCGCCGCCGCTCTCTCGCGAGATCGTTACCAGCATGCTGGCATCTGTAGCCCCATCACGGTCATCGTCGCCACCACCATCAATACGGACAGCCGCCATTCGCCACTAAGTGACGGTCACGTCACCACGGCGCCTGTGCCAGGCCAGGTGCACTTTGAGGCGACGTGAAGTGCCGAAGGTTCGCTGACAGACCCAGCAGGTGTCATGGGTTGGCTGACTGAGATGACCGGTAGATGCAACGGCCGTAGCCCCTGCTGTGCCAGTCATCACCACCAACATCACCGGCACGGTCATCCCCATCACGGCCCCGTTCCTGGGTGTGCCCAACGTCACAGAGGTGCTGTGACGTGGTGGTGCATCACACCACGTGTGTGCGTGTGTTTGTACCCACCCTGGCGATTCGTGGTAGTGTATTGGTTTGCACACTGCGCTACAAACCCGGCAACCTGCGTTCATTTCTCCCTCAGCTAACACCAGCGACGATTAATGGGCCTCCCCGAGGTCGACTCAGCCTCAAATGAGTACCTGGAGTGGGGAGCAAACATCACCACTGAGGAGACAAAGGCGGCCAGGCGTGGTGTTGGCCACTGACACCGTCGTGTGCCATTCCGGCCTTCATAGGCACTTGCGAACAGCACTTTCCCCAACAGTCTGTTCAGGCTATACAAGGAATCTTTGTCTTTTGCTGTGTACACACCCTGGCAGTAAATGGTCGTGTATTTGGTTTGTATACTGTGCGACGAATCCGGTGACCCCACGTTCATTTCCCGCTCATAGCCAACACCGGTGGCAAAAATAATTTGAGCCGGTCTTGAGCCTCTTCGAGATTGACCCAGCCATAGTTGAGTGACCTTCCCATGGTGCGTGAACATCACCACTGGGGAAACATGGGCAGCATAGCGTGGTGCTGACCACCCCCCCCCCCCCCCGTCGCACGCAGTGCCACCCTTCGTAGGTCTTCCTCTTTAGTGTGGATTCACAAAGAAAATTAAAGAGATGATTAGATGTGTCGTCCACTCAATTGTCTGTTCAGACGCAGAGCGGATCTCGTCCCATTCCTCCTTTTACGGGGTGAAGACAGCAGCGGCCGACTGTTCACGGTGCGGTCGACGGTTCGCGATTCGTGGCCGCACCGCTCGCAGGCCGCCGAATCTTCCGATGTGCCATTCGTGGCGTCAGGTGGCCGTCATCGGCCAACCTGACGTCCCGGTCCCGAGTTGGTCGACGGTCGACCGCTGGCGGCGTTGGAACGTTGGAAGCTGGGAGGTTGCCTCGTCAGTTAAAGCCTACCACGGTCGGCGGAATCTACGCCCTTGTTTTTGCGCCCAGGGGCACAATGACCATACCTGTCAACCGCTTATCATAAGTGCCCCTTACCTTCTTACAGACCAATTCAGACCTTATTGGTCACCCCGTCCCATTATAAATCTCAACGTTCATCCTACAAAGTTCCATCACAAGGGAGAAACACAAACAAAATAGACATTTGCCCGTATTGAAACGGCTATACGCCGTACGGACTTGAAAATTCAAATTTCCCAGTACAAGAATACGGGGTCAACCACATGAGTTGACACGGTATGCATACCCCCCCCCCCAACACCAAACCCACCCCCCATAGTTGCGCCACCCCGTGCATTGCACCCACCCGCACGGCGTCCTGGTGCGTCACACCGTCATGCAGGACGACGCCGTTGGCCCTCAGGATGAGGTCGCCGGGTCGCAGGCCGCACCGCCAGGCGAGCGAGCCGGGCACCACGTGGCCCACCGCCACGGGCAGTCCGTGCTCGGCGCCACCCCGCACGCTCAGCCCCAGCGGCGCCGGGGCACCCCGGGACCCCCTCTCCAGTAGCACGCGACGCACGGAGGCCTGGGGAGGCACGGCCTGGCGGGATTGCGCAGGGGGGGGAAGGGGGGGCAGAGGTCGAAAACGGGTTTTGATTCCTTACCCGTACCCGGCCGCACCAGGGTTGCAAATGGGTACCCGTACCCGGCCGGGTACGGGTAGCCGTTCCCTACCCGTACCCTACCCGAAATGAGAGACAAACGGCTACTCACCAGTGACTCACGGCCTGCCCGTACCCGTACCCGGCCGCACCAGGGTCGCAAACGGCTACCCGTAGCCGGGTATCGGGTAGGGTACGGGTATCGGGTACCCGGTTGCGACCTCTGGGGGGGGGGGGGGGGTAGCATGGGCAAGGTGACACAAAGACAAAGGTCCTCCAATGTATAGCCTTTAACAGACTGTTGGGGACAAGTGCTGTTAGCGAGTAGCAGAGCCTACGAAGGCTGGCACGGCACACGAGGGGGAGGGGGGTAGTGGCCAGCACCACGCCCGGCCGCCTTTGTCTCCCCGGAGGCGATGTTTTACACACACCCCGCACCAGGTACTCATTTGAGGCTGAGTCAACCTAGCGGAGGCCCAGGGATGGTTAAGATAATCGTCGCTGGTGTCGGTTGTGAGCGGGAATCAAACTCGCATACCTGTCAACCCCTTCGGTTTACCTCGTATTCTTGTACATGGAACTTGAGCTTTCAGGTCCATATGGGCAACATTTGTTTTGTCTATTTGTTTGTGTTTCTCCCTTGTGGTGGGACTTTGTAGGACGAACGTTGAGATTTATAAGGCGCACGGGGTGACCAATAAGGTCTTAATTGGTCTGTAATATGGTAGGCACTGTGAAAGGGTTGACAGGTATGAACTCGGCCCGGGTCACCAGGTTTGTAGCGCCGTGCGCCAACCCCTACACTACCGTCCCCCCACACCACGGCATCACACGCGCGACCCAACACACAGGAACGTGGATGTCACACGTTGTTGCTTTTGTGCTGATTTCTATTCGCTTTCTCGAGACGCTTTAATTTTTTAAATCGTTTTTGTCACTTTGGTGACCCAGAGTTACTCTTGCAAATGAAATTATCCTAATCTCTCGAGTTCTCGCCCTGGGGGAAACACATGGAGGGTGACTGACATGGGGACAACGCGGGAGACACGGGGGTCACATATAGGGGTGAAGGTGGACACAGTGGGCACACGTGGAGGTGACTTAGGCCTGTCCTCAGTCTCCTCCCAATTCCTCTGCCTGGAGAGGCAACGAGGACCAGGGCAGGGAAACCAGGCGATGCAGGCCTGTTCCCGCAGACACTAGGCCTCAACTGCGTATACAATAAATACGATGACATTAAAAAAGATGACATCACATGTACCTACATGACGTACACGTGTTAAAGTCACCTCGTTGACAATTGATTGATTTTTTACTTTAAACACTTTTGAGGCCTAGTGTCCTCCCCATGACCATGCCTTCCTCACCCAGTATCCCTACCCAGGTGCTCGCACCTGGCCGGGCAAGGGAATCGGATAGAGAGACTGGGGTAGACCCAGTCACTCATCATCATTCAAAGTGTTTGACGTCACAAAGGCCCATGTAATAAATTATCATTTTTTCTCTCGTAATTTTGGCCAATCCTTTGATATATTCTCCCCGGTCGTCTATAATTGACAATATGAAAGTATACAAATAAGAATAAAGACAACTTTAGCAAGGAATGAAGTCTACATTGACCACACGTACTTGTGGAAAAACGTGCAAAAAAACAATGCACATATTATCAGAGCGTAGGTTTTCATGTTTTGCTACAAGTACGTGTGCTTAATACAGACTTGATTCCTTATTTGGTGTTTGAACATCTTAACACCTGTTTTATTTGCCAGAAGAGGGTAAAAGTCTACTATTATTAATGTGGCTAGCAGACATGGACGCTGGCCTTTGACCCCGGGACCATATTGCCTCATGCAAGGAGAGAGGATGAAATTACATTTACGTGAAAACCCTTTTTTCAAGAGAGCTATCGTAACTCTGCTCCTAAGATAGAGGGACATGAATGATGACAAAAAAAAATTAGCAAAATAAATAAATATTCGTGAGTTCAACACGTAAGCTTTCACGACCAATATCATCCATTATACAGGTTTTTTTGGGTTAGATCGCGTAAATATACATGACAAACCTTACTAAATTGGCTGTGTCATTTGGTGGCGGGTTTAACGACACATTTAAATATTTACGCGATCTAACCCAAAAAAAACCTGTGTTATGGATAAATATTGTGATTCACAAGTGATTTTTTTTGGGTTAGTCAACGTAAGGACCAGATCAAATGTGTCGTTTAAGAATCGTCCACGACCCGACGCAGCCAAATGTCCAATCGTCAGGTCCATACAGCAGTTTCGATAGGGGCAAAAAGAACCCGTGTCTATTTGTCTGTGTTTCTCACTTGTGATGGGACTTGGTGTAAGGGCACGGGGTAACCAATAAGGTCTGAATTTGTCTATAATAAGGTAGGGCACTGATAAGGTGTTGACAGGCATTTGATTGTAATAATATTGAATTTTGGTTTCAGCTGAACTCGCCATGAGCCATTAGGAGCATAATTCTCACGGCCAGATTTAGCAGCCGTTTACATAAAACAAAGCTTTGCTTGAGACTGCATCAACCACCCTGGGGTCATAAGGGGCCGTCCATAAATGACGTCACGCGATTTTGGACGATTTTGACCCCCCCCCCCCTCATCACACGGCGTCACAAAAAGTCAGACCCCCCCTCAAATATGACGTAACAAAGCTCTGTCCCCCGCCCCCCCCCCAAAACCATATTTCAATTTTGAAAATAAAACACGCTTCAAATCGCTTTAAACTATTGTCATTGTAGTGCGTATTTAATGTGGCGCTGCACTCTGATGTTGTAGGAGTGTTGTTATAACAATTAGTGTTATTATAACAATTCTATATTTATTTAAAGTTGCGCATTTTGATGTGACGTCAAATTTCTCAACCCCCCCCCCTCGTCACACATCGTCACAAATGTCTGACCCCCCCCTAAGTGCGTGACGTCATTTATGGACGGCCCCTAACCAAGAAAGGCAGAAATAAGCCTTACCTCGTTTCTTAAACAGGCGTCATGACAACACAGGAACAACCAATCAAATATAAGCAAAGACATTAACCATGGCAAATGAATGCATTCTAATTGAATTCTAATTCATCTGGGTCATTGGTTGCCATCACATGCATTATTCATGATAGCTACTCATAAATATACATGGCTGCAACAGGACGGCAATATCATGTTAATTCAGGGGGACTGTTTCATGGCAAACATTTGGCCAGCTCGTTACGTGGTCGAGATGTTGTCACCAGGGCGGGGTTGATTGGGCCCATCATGTCACCTGGCTAACAAACTGAGGCCTGTACGTCACCTGGGTGGCACAGTCAGGCTCTGGATGGCACAATTAAGCCCGTATGTCAACTGCATGTCACGTGTATATATGTTGAACTTCTTCCACACGGTACGTAGCCAACCTGAGTGGGTTGGTGAGGTCCGTTTGTCGTCTGGGTGGGTTGGTGAGGTCCGTTTTTCGTCTGGGTGAGTTGATGAGGTCTGATATCCGCCTCTGTTGATCTCCCGCAAGAAGCGCAGCTGATGGAGCTGAAGGAGGCGTGTGTGGAGCTATCAAGGAGGTGGAGTCAGAGAGACATGAACACCACCACCACCACGCTTGCATGCCTCATCACTTACACCACGACTATATATACCGCCACCACCATTATCAACACCACCAGCCCCATCACCATCAAAATGACCACATTATGAACATGACCACCACCAATACAACCAAAATCACCACTACTACCACTGACATAACCACCGGCACATCACATCACCACCATCAACATTAACACAATCACCACCACAGCACCACCATCCCCACCACCATCAAAATGACCACATTATCAACATGACCACCACCAATACAACCAAAATCACCACTACTACCACCAACATAACCACCAGCACATCACATCACCACCATCAACATTAACACAATCACCACCACCACCACCACATCACCACCATCAGCAATAACACAATCCCCTCCACCACATTACATATCCACCATCAGCATTCATATAATCACCACCACATCACCACCATCAGCATTAACACAATCACCACCATCAGCAATAACACAATCACCACATCACATCATCAACATTAACACAATCACCACCACCATCAGCATTCACATAATCACCACCACCAACACATCACCACCATCAACCTTCACACAATCACCACCACATCATATCATCAGCATTTACACAATCACTACCACCACATCAACACCATCAGCATTAACACATTCATCACAACCATCACTGCCATCACCACCACCATCACTACCATCACCATATCGCCATACCTACGTCAAAGACAAAGATCCCCTGTATAGCCTTAACAGACTGTTAGGGCGAGTAGCACCTATGAATGCCGCTACAGCACACGAGGGGGTGGGTGGCCAGCACCACGTCTGCCCGGCCGCCTTTGTCTCCCAACTGGTTACTCATTCAGGCTGATTCGCCCTAGAGAAGGCCCAGGAACGATTAAAATATTCTACATGACTCATAATCAAGGTTATCGTGTTAGATCGCGTAAGTATAAATGTTCTACCACCAAAACTACACCCATCACCTGCACCACCACCACCACTACTACACCCACCACCTACACGATTGCAATCACCACCACCAACCAACCAACCACCCTCCTCCTCGCTACCTGGGGAGGTTGTACGACACTCTGATGGGCAGGGTGGCTGTGGCACCACCACCACCACCTCCACCGTCACGAGCAGCAGCAGCAGCTCCTTGCTGCTGCCCCAGGCAGGAACCCCGCGACGTGTAGGTGTCGAAGAGCAGCTGGTCGGCCGCGGGTAGCACCTGCCGGAGCAGGGGCAGCAAGTGGCGCCTGGGCGGGCAGTCGAGGCGAAGGTCACGGAGGGCGGTGACGAGGTCGCGAACGTTTCGCCGCGCCTGATACTCGCGCAGTCGCCCGAGCAGCGCCATGCGCTCCGAATCGCTGAGCAGCGAGCCCAGAGCCCCGTGCAGCTTGCGGACGTTGGCGGACAGAGGTCGACCCGCGGCGGGTCGCCCCGGGCCCCCCACGGCGAAGGAGGGGCCCGAGAGACGCGGCGGAGGAACCGCGGACATCGGCGGCGGCGGCGGTTCGGATGGTTCGGCTGCGGGAAGGGTCAACGCGGAGACTCGGACATCGGAGACGCGACGCGAACTTCTTGCTACAACATTTATCGCGGGTTTCAATTATGTATGTGACCCCCTCCTCCTCCTCCTCCCCTTCACCCCCAACTTCACCACCTCCACCACCACCCCCGTCCGTTCCCCGCACCCCAAGCACGACTCGCGCTGTCTCGTGTTATTATTGCCGCCCTGTCGAAGCGAGTGAACCTAGCCTGGCACCAGCGGCGTGCTCGCGTCGCCCGCGACGACTAATTGACGAATGGCGGCTGTTGTTAGTCGTCGTTGTTGTTGTTAGTCGTTGTTGTCAGTCGCCGTTGTCGTTGTTGTTATAAGTAGTCGGAGGACGACTGAGCCCTCTGACAGCCGAGAGAGAGAGAGGCATCGGGTTCGATGTTTGCTCTCTCTCTCCTGCTCCGTCTCTCCCTCCCTTCGTCGCCTCCCCACCCCCCCGTGCTCACCGCCACCTCGCCACTTGTTGCTGCCGAGCGCGGAGAGCCTCTAGAAGCCTCGGCCACGGACCCCGTACCCCTCCCTGCTGCTCCCCCTACCCACCCACCCCTGCCTTGCCGATGCCCCCCTTCCTTCTTGATCCTCCTACTCCTCCCCCCACCCTGCACCCACCCTGCCGCCACCCTGCCGACACCCTGCACCCACCCTGCCGCCACCCTGCCCCCACTCTGCACCCACCTGCACCCACCCTGCCCCCACGCTGCACCCACCTGCACACACCCTGCCCCCACTCTGCCCCCACTCTGCACCCACCCTGCCCCCACCCTGCCCCCACTCTGCACCCACCCTGCCCCCACCCTGCACCCAGCCTGTACCCACCCTGCACCCACCCTGCACCCACCCTGCCCCCACCCTGCCCCCACCCTGCCCCCACTCTGCACCCACCCTGCCCCCACCCTGCACCCAGCCTGTACCCACCCTGCACCCACCCTGCCCCCACTCTGCACCCACCTGTACCCACCCTGTACCCACCCTGCCAGCGCGCGCGCCGCTCAAATTCAGCACCAGGGACAGCGCCGCCAGCGGCTGCGGTGGCGGCGTCTCTTGACAACGGGGAGGGGTGGGAGGGAGGGGAGGGAGGGGAGGGGCATCGGGGAAGAAGGGGTGGGGGGTGGGGGAGATCAAGGCAAGGAGGTGGGGGTTGGGTGGGAGGGCTGAATGACGCGGAGGGGGAGGGTCACTTGCAATCCCACTCCAGGGTCCCACTTACAATCCCTCCCAGGTTATTCCACTTACAATCTCTCCCAGGGGTCCCACTTACAATCCCTCCCAAGGAATCCCACTTACAATCCCTCCCAGGTGTCCCGCTTACAATCCCTCCCGGGGGTCCCACTTACAATCCCTCCCAGGGGTCCCACTTACAATCCCTCCCGGGGGTCCCACTTACAATCCCTCCCGGGGGTCCCACTTACAATATATCCCAGGGTCCCGCTTACAATCCCTCCCGGGGGTCCCACTTACAATCCCTCCCAGGGGTCCCACTTACAATCCCTCCTAGGTGTCCCACTTACAATCCCTCCCGGGGGTCCCACTTACAATCCCTCCCAAGGGTCCCACTTACAATATATCCCAGGGTCCCGCTTACAATCCCTCCCAGGGGTCCCGCTTACAATCCCTCCCGGGGGTCCCACTTACAATCCCTCCCGGGGGTCCCACTTACAATCCCTCCCAGGGGTCCCACTTACAATCCCTCCCAGGTGTCCCACTTACAATATATCCCAGGGTACCACTTACAATCCCTCCCATATATTTGAATGTTAAAGGCTCCCAAAGATTTCGATTTAAAGCTTCTTTCATGACTGCAGGGATTCATATTATTGGTTCTTTCGGTAAAGACACGTAGAAGGGAAATAATAAAATAAATAAAACAAAATTTTTAAAAATAAAAAAATATCATAAAAATAAAATAAAAGTCTATGTTAAAGGCTCCCATAGACTTCAATAAAGCCTCCCATAGTCGTCAATGTTAAAGGATCCCCTAGACTTCAATGTTAAAGGCTCACATAAACTTCAATGTTAAAGGCTCCCATAGATTTCAATGTTAAAGGCTCCCATATACTTCAATGTTAAAGGCTCCCATATACTTCAATGTTAAAGGCGCCCATAGACTTCAATGTTAAAGGCTCCCATATACTTCAATGTTAAAGACTCCCATAGACTTCAATGTTAAAGGCTCCCATCGACTTCAATGTTAAAGGCTCCCATAGACTTCAATGTTAAAGGCTCCCATATACCTCAATGTTAAAGGCTCTATCCTGGCTCACTTGAGTTATCTCACCAGCCCGGGCTATCGAACACACGGAGTGAATCTAAGATCGGCCCCTAACGAACATCAAAGGAACTGCACATTTTCCTCAACTCAAGACCTCAACATTCTCTCGTTTCCGTCTCTACACTGTGCTGCTCTGGGTGAATCCTCATTTCTCTCTGTGTGTGTCTCCGTGTGTGTCTCTGTGTGTGTGTCTGTGGGGTAGTGTGTACATGCGGGGGAGTGGTGGTGCAGCGATTAGCGCTGCACTGCCCTAGTAACCCGGAGACCCGATTTAGATTCTCGCTCACGGCCAACATGAATTGACGAAAATCCGAACCGGTGCTGGACCTCCCCTAGGTTGACTCAGCCTCAAACGGGTAACCTGGTGCGGTGTGTAAAACATCGCCACTTAGGGAGACAAATGCGGCCGGGCGTGGTTGCTGGCCACCCACGTCCTCGTGTGCCACAGTGCTGGCCTTCATAGGTGCTCGCTAACAGCACTTGCCCCAAAAGTTCGTTACAGGCTATTTGGGTGATCTTTGCCTTTGTATCTGTGTGTGGGCAGCGTGTACACGTGGGGGAGCGGTGGCGCAGCGGTTAGCGCTACATTGCGTTCCGAACCCGGAGACCCGGGTTAGATTCTCGCTCACGGCCACCAACATCAGTGACGATTATCTGAACCGTGTCGTGGGCCTCCCCTAGGTCGACTCGGCCTCAAATGACACCTGGTGCGGTGTGTAGTGAACATCGCCACTGGGGGAGACAAAGGCGGCCGAGCGTCGTGCTGGCCACCCACCCCCTCGTGTGCCGTGCTGGCCTCCACAGATGCTACTCGCTAACAACACTTGCCCTAATAGTCTGTTAAGGTTATACGGGGGATCTTTGTCTTTGTTTGTGTTTGCGTGGGGGGGGGGGGAGCAGTGGAGTGGCAGGTAGCGCTGCACTGCGCTACATAAACCCGGCGACCCGAGTTCGACTCTCGCTCACGGCCACCAACACCCAGTGACGATGATCTGAACCGGTCCCCCCCACCCCTCGGTCGACTCGGCCTCAAATGAGTACCTGGTGCGGTGTGTAGTGATCATCGGCACTCGGGGAGACAAAGGCGGCTGTGCGTGCGGAGTCCGCACTTGTAGAAGTGGGACGAAGATGGGCCCCGTTTGCCTGAAATGCCACCGATTATAATTTTGCGCGACCTTTGAAAGTCACGGTGTTATTGATGAACGCGTTGTGTTGAGTAACACATTTTTCTGGCTCATCTCGGAAAGCTTCACCGAGTCCCCAAAACTCGTACGTCCCTCCCCCCTGCATGCTGCTACATTTGGGGGGTATTTTGGCCGTGAAGAAGCGGGTTTTACCCTTTCTGGCAATACAACAGGAGGTAATAATAGGGGGTTTTCCCCTTTTTTCTGGCAACAAAACTGAAACCTTTTTACAAGGATTCATGTCTGCATTAACCACAATACTTGCAAACAAAATGCAAACAAAAACACACCCTTCCGCCCCGCCCCCTCAACCATTATATATACGGAGTGGTATCTCTGGAAATATCTCATTTACTAGATACAGCTGTCGTGCTGTGACGGTTCCACCTGAAGACGGAAGTTTGTTTTGCCTCCGAAACGTCGTGATTTTTCTTTTTCTTTTATTTATTTTACTTTTATTAATTTTAATTTTTACCTACGTGACTTTACCGAAAAAACCTAAGAATATGAATCCTTGCAGTCACGAAAGCTTCAAATCTAGAATTCATGCCATGGCTGTATACATGTTTTATTGCCAGAAAGGTTAAAACCATTTTCTTATATTTTGATACTGGCAAGGGAGATCCCGTGATGTTGAAGGTGTTCGTTTGAACTTCACGTCGGAATGGAGAGCGGAGAGCCCGGATACAACCCCGCCTCGCACACGATGAACGGATAAAAGGCGAAGCCCCGCACAGATAGATTTACCAATCTGTAGCCGTGCTGCCGGTAGTGTGCAGCCCAGCTTGGGGGCCTGCACCGCAACAGCGTGTGTGGTTCGTACGTGGTTCGTACGTGGTTCGTACGTGGTTCGGAAAATATTTTTTTGTTTTTGGGTCGAATTGAGCTACAAAATATCCGCTTAACGCAATGCACAAAATGATCCATTATTTCATCTGACGGTAATTTAATTGGGAAAATCGATTTTCTGGGATGATGTGTGTCTCTGTATGTGTGTGTGTAAATGTATTATGTGTGTCTATATATGTGTGTGTGCGTGTGTCGTGGGGAGCGGTAGTGTAGCGTTAGTGCGCTCTGCTACGAACCCGGCGACCCGAGTTTGGTTCCTGCTCACGGCCAACATCGGTGACGATTATCTGAACCAATCTGGTGCCTCCCCTATGTCGACTCAGCCTTAAGTGAGTACCTCGTGTGGTGTGTAAACATCGTCACTGGGGAGACAAAAGCGGCCGGGCGTGGTGGTGACCACCCACCCCCTCGTGGGCCGTTCTGGCCTTCATAGGTGCTCGCTAACAGCACTTGCCCCTATAGTCTGTTAAGGCTATACGGGGTATCTTTGTCTTGGTAGTGTTGTGTGTGTGGCGGGGGTGGGGGGCGGTGGTGCAGTGGTTAGCGCTACGCTGCACAACGAACCCGCTGTCCCGAGTTCGTTTCCCGCTCACGGCCACCAACACCAGTGACGATTATCTGAACCGGTCACGGGACCTCCCCTAGGTCGACTCAGCCTCAAATGAGTACCTGGTGCAGTGTCTAAAACATTTCCACTAATGGCACTGCCCCAAAAATCTGCTCAGGCTATACTGGGGATTTTTG